ACAAGTACAAAAACTCTTTCCCTCTCCCTCATTCACTAAGAAAGGTTTCTAGAATGGAATTTTTAGGGGTTGGGTGTGACTTCTTCCAGAATGATTAATGAAGACACTATATTGGAACTATGCTGTTGAATTAACATGGAAGAAATTCCAGCAAAAGTGCACACCACTGCCAGGACATATTCTCATTTGCATAAAATAAAAAATGGAACTTGCATGGTGGATAACTGTGACAATTAAAAAGAAGGGAAATCTTATTTCTTGTTTACAAGCAATATTCTAGGACCTCTATGGTACAAGGAGAGTTATAGTAATGCGTGTGTTGGTATAAACACATTTTTTGGCTCCAATAATGAGAGACTGCAGAGGAAGTTGTACAATAAAGGAATAACCTTTGAGTCATGATCTAACGAATAACATGGAAACAAAAATCAAAAATTAGATTACTAGAATTTTGTAAATTTATGCATCCTTAAAATGACACAATATAAAAAAGATACTATGGACTGAAAGCTAACAAGATAGGAGCTGGGTAGGAACTTATGTCAGGAAGTGTCTCGTCTGTTATTTTTTCATATTTTCAAAAGTAAAAAGAAAATAAATTAACTAAATATGAAAGTGTAGTAAAAAAAAAGTATATCATAATGTTGTTTAAATAAAATCATGTAAATTTTGTATTTCAACATGTAAACATTCGAAAGGTGTTTTTTTTTTTATTACAGCAAAAAAATATACTTAAATTAATAAAGAATTCTTTATTAATTTAAGTATATTTTGCTGTAATAGAGGTTACACAATCCTTTCAAGTCATACACAATATCAATACATTAAATTTTCTCCCGGCATCTATCAAACAAAACACTATCTTAGATAAAAGTAATAACTAAATTCTCTCTCCAATTAGAACAAATTTTCTTTACTGTTGCCTAAACTTACAAAAAAATATATTGGTCAACCTGTAATAAAAACTATACCTCATCCTCTAATTATGTCATACTTGTTGCATCCGTCTGTTGCCCTTAATTATGCATAATTCAGGATTGTTACACCATTGAGTAAAAACATAATAGAAAGGGGCATGCATGTATAAATTCAAATTGTTTATGAATTTTGGTATAAAATCATGATAATTCACATAAATTAAACCTATATTATTTGGAAGGAAAAAAAAGAGAGAAAAAAACATATATAAATGATTAAAATTTCTCACATGTCACAACATAGAGAGAGAGAGAGAGAGAGAAAGTAATGCTTACTCCATCTTCTCCTATCTCTCGATTCACCTTGCCTTCATAGTTACCAAAACCTTCTGATGGTACAGAAATGTCTTCAGTGGGGTGGGGTAATGTTTTTTTCTCAGAAACAGTTCCTTTGTTTCTTCTCTGATATACAAGTATTTGCTTGTCCTTCTTTCCCTTATTCTCAGAAGAACTCATCTCTAAGTATTCTTGAATTGAAACTAAACTTGGGATAGATGAAGGGGTTAGTGTTGATGCATATTCAAGACAATTGATCAACAAATGAGTAATCAATAAGGGAAAGATAATGTAGATATAGATAATGTAGCAACTGTGTGACCATATATAAATTACATGAATGTTTCAAGCTTAGTTTCTAGAGAAAAATTAGTTAAGTTCGCCACCGGTAAATACTTATTTGTCAAACCCCAAAATTTTTAATATAATTAATAGTCTACCAATTTTATACTATAAAATAAGAGTATACATATAATAAAAAAACTATCAAGAGGAGCATTGGGCACCCGTGAAACGCAAAATTAAAAATAAAGTCGGAATTCCTTTAACTTGTGAAGTAAAATCAATCGACAGTTTATGCCTGTAAAATTTTATCCCCATTTAGGGAAAAATTGTTAAGGGTAGAACTTCTAAGAACAAAAATGGTTGAAAGTAAATTTTGTCCAATACATTTGAACTGGCTACACTTGTGGAATTTAAAAAGGATTTCAAATATCATCAATAATTAAAGAAGTTCTTGGCTAATTAAACTTTTTTGGACTTATGCTTATCAGAAAAATCAAAATAGACATAATTGGAAAGTTTCTTCAAAATAAAAGTAATTTATTTAATTAATTGATTGAAGCCTAAACTCAAGAGTTTTTACAGATGTTCATTGAAGGAATTTTTATTATTGCAAAGATAAAAATATCCTTAAAAAAATGTAAGACATGCATTTTCTCAATTTGGACAAAAAAAGAAGCTAATTATTGAAACTAACATAGGATGAGAAAACAAATGCGTAAACTTAATCCAATTTCTCGAGTTTAGATATTCATATATTTAGGTTTCATATAGCCCCACAAATTAAATCCATTCTAAAACAAGTACATCTGAATCTTGATAAATTCTTAACAAATTAATTATCTATGCCAATCAAGATCTGGAAAACATCCTTAATTTTTTATAAACATATCAATTAAAAAAATAAAATCCAAATAATGAACTTATAACAATCGAATAATTAAATAGCAAGGGACGTAACATTTCAGATTGAAGTTGTTGGGTAAAAATTTGATCTTCACAGTACATACCTGAAAAGTGAATGAAACAATGTGAACAGAGATACAAACCTAGAATTGGGGCAAGAAGAAAGAACAATAAACATATATAGGTGAAATGAATGAGGTAAAGTGATGAGTGAGGTCACTGAACTAATAGACATCAAACGTGTGTAACATGTCATGTGAGTTTGTTTGAAACGGCTATAGCTACTTTACCACTTGTCATTGCAATCTTCCATGCATGATTTCATAGTCTTGGGGTTGTTCACACTGTTTCTGTTTTGATTCCTTACCCCTTTTTTTGTGGCTTTTTTGTACCCTTCTATGTACATTTTCCTGAGATATAAGAGTAGTGAAGTTGGTGCTAATTAAACTCAAGAGTAGAGAGGAATTTTTACTTGTTTTCACTTTTGTAATGTGTGAATTTGAGGTGAGAATTTTTCACTCAAATGGGATAAAAACACCGTGGATATATTGTTAAAATATATGGACTATTCAAACGAATTTTTGTTACCTTCAATTTATTCATATATGATAAGTAATTTCTATTAAAAAATTTGACAGAATACTTTTAGTAAAACTTCTTTTTTCAAACACATTTTTTTTCACAAAACTTAAATTTAAAATTTTACTTAAGAGGATGGAGTACAATTCTTATAATGACTTGTTAGTATTTAATAGTTACTTTTTAAGTCACATGACTGATGAGCTTTCTTAGTCCCTTTTTAAAACTCACCTTTGAAATGAATAAGCATTATTTGTTTATTATTTTGAAATTTTATTAAAGTTGATGGTGAGTCTTACTCTTATTTAATGTGCTCATATATGATTTATTGTGAGTTAAAAAATTTTAATCATAAACAAAAGTAATTAATGCATATTTAATTTTTTTTCTCTAAAAAGCTATTGGCAATAAATTATCATAAATATTTTTTTTAGTGTAACTGTCTGAATACATTAGAATGAGAGATTCATAGATTATACATGTATAAGAAAGTGTGCAGTTTAGGATAATTTAAATGAATTAATTTATATTACTTATATCAATAAAATGCACATACTTTTGGTAACTTATCACAAAATAACTTCATAGTTAAGCATGCTTGGTTTGAAATAATTTAAGATGGGTGACCTTCTAAAAAATTTCTTTAAAAGCGTGTAAATGAGAACAAAACACACTGAAAAGTCTTGTATTGATTTATGATATCAGAATTCTAAAAGTGATTGAACATCTCAAGAAGGACTATTCATAGAGGGTTTACTACAACAAAAAAAAACACTTTTGAACATTTGAAAAAATGTTACTTAATTGTGTATAAATGTTATTAATTTACTTTTGTAACATATTATCAAATGTTATATATAATTCATATTACTAAAGACTTTAAATAACATTTTTACATAATTAGGCAATATTTTTTAATATTATTAAAGTGATATTTTTGTAATATTTTAATACCGTTAAGTTTTAATTAACTTTATAAAATAATAATTAGTTTTAATATACATGTTGATATCACTTATACTTTATTACTCCTAACCTTCTATAAATTCTTTATGATTGAATATATTCTTAGTCATTATCAAATCTATATCAAATACCAAATTTATGTATCTTAAGTATATCACTTTATGATTATATATATTATTTATATGTCATTAATTTATTTGATGTGTGACTTTAATTTTGGAAAACAATTAGAGATGAAAGAAGTATACTCTCTATGTAACATTTTGATGGAATTACACTAAGGCCAAGAAGACCAAGAGGTGATATTTTAAAAGAGGCAAGAGGAATGGGTTAGTTTTGAAAACCCTAAGAGGAGTGGGCCTACTTTTGGGCCTTAGCTCCTAAGCTTTTATAGCATTTAGTTTTTATTCCTATTTTTGCCCTTGTCTTTAATTTCCTATTTTTCCCTTGTCTTTAATTTCCTATTTTATCCTTGTATTTTGGGGTATCTTAGTCATAAGATTTATTTTCTTTTTTATTTCCCATTTTATCCTTGTATTATGGGGTGTTTTAGATCATAGGTTTTTAATTTTGGGCTAAGGTATTTAATTAGGGAGCTAGACACATTTTTGGTGGTGTTTGGACCTATTTTTGGACTTAGAAAGGCTTAGGCCCAAGTGGAGGGCAAAGGTTGCATGGTCTTATCATGCACCTAGATGTAGCCTAACTAAACCCAAAGATTCCATCCTTGGCCACCAAGTTGCATCTAGGGTTAATTTGGGTTTCATTTGGTGTGCATTTGGCACCCTAAATGCAACCCTAGATGCCTCCCACTCCTATAAATACCCTAGGCACCACACCTTGTAAATACTTTGGAAATTGAATATAAAGAGAGCATTTTTGCCTTTATATCATCCTTAGTCACCCTTGGCTAAATCCGGCCACCACCCATCCTATCTCCACCTTGAAAGCAAAACCCTAGAAATGGCCTTCATTTACCTTGAAGTGAGTCAAACCCTAGAGTGCCCTCTCAAACCTTTCATCAAACACTTCACGCTCACACTCTCTATTTTCGTTCATCCCACCTTATTCCTTCTCTAAATCACGTATCACCCTTGGAGGACTTGATCCTTGGAGTAGGCGTCCTGTCCCTTGCTCATCATCTCAAGTTAATGCAAGTTAGGATGCCATCACATTTCTTTACTCAATGTAGGACTTTAATTTTAGAAATAATAAGAAAGAATAATATTGAGATATAAAATATTACTCTGTCTATAATAATATTTTTAAAAATATATTGCAAAATAATATATTTACTTAATCTATATTAACATTTTAACAAATGTAAATAGGTAAATGTCACTAAGGAAGTAAAATGTAGTAGATGTAGAATTCTAACCAATAAAAAATTATGTGAAGTATCACTGTTTAAAGTGTCAAATAATAAATCTGTCTTGAAATGTCAAATACGATGGATATTACATCCAACACATCCTATATGGTGAAATCATAACTTGTTCCGTTTAATATGGACGGGGGCTTTTATTTTCAAACTAGTGAAACTTACGTGAATTTCAATCCATAAAAGAAATTAATTATATTAGAAAAATATATTAAAATGTGTTACTAGCCACTATAAAAAAATAGGCAATTACTGGCGGGTTTTTTTTTTTGGTTTTTCT